ATAAACTACACGTTTAACTGGGTGATCACTGCACTATAACCAGTACATCTTAAGTGAGTTGGTGTGCTACAGTTTCAACAACAAAACATTATGAATAAATAGTGTTGAAAATAACAAACGTACACAAAGATCGAGAAACAAAGAAACCAAAAAGCACAGTCCTGAAGCTATAACAACAGCTCAACAACTTTTTCAGCTCCCAGCAGAGCCACCCACCCTGACTGTAACAACAAAATTCCACCCACCGAGTGACTAAACTTCCAAATTCCTTGTGTTCCAAATGCCTTTCTTCGGGCTATTCCAGAGGAGCATAGATCACAGCGCCTTAATATGCCACTTCTGTTTGACTTTGGGGAACTGTCAGCAAAAGAATTAAAGAGACCTAGAAATTTGATCAAAGATACATAAATAAGAAGAAAGCTGTCCCGAGAGGTATTACATTTCATCAAGTGACTGAGCCAAGGCAAGGAATCAGCCAGCAATCCAAGATGTACTGATGCGTATATGCTGGTACTCTCCTATTTTGTAGAATATGTGGAAAGTCTTAAATTATTGTGGAGTCATATGATCAGTAAATGATTCTCCCCATGTTCCACTGACAGTTATTACAAATAATATGGTATATAGCCCATTCAGTCATATAAGACAATGGACAATGATATTGGCAGGTTTTACTTAGGCAAAACTTTTTTCTGTGGATACAGCCATATGCAGTGAATACATTATTCATCGTGTCTTATAAAGAATATTTCCCTTCATGTTTCATTTGTGACATCTGTCATCTGTGGAATAATCTCCAACCCGTTCTGAGGTTCTTCAAAGAAAGAAATGTCAATTTAAAATGAAATAGTCCCAAAATGGTACCATTTTTAATTTTTAACGCATTGAGATCAAAAGGCAAAATTAATATATTTCACTTCTTTGCATATCTAATATGAAGTCTATGTGTGTATGTGACAAAAAGTAAAACAGAAAACCAATTCTGCCTGAGTACATTATGACTTGTCTAATTTCTAAATGCAAATTTGTTCATAAGTTACTTCTGCCAAAACTGCACGGTGAATGGCAGGAAAGAAAAAAGAAGCAGTGACAAACACAGATGGATGGAAAGTTTTTGTAACATTACATGCTACAGTAAAAATACCAATTAATGTTGTTTTATACAAGTTTAAGCATGTAAAAAGTTATATTTTCTTTGGTTTAATTTTGTTATACATCATGTGGGATACAAGCACATATATAGTCATTACAACCCAATTATAGTCATGTGTACTGTAGATTTTAGGCATAATTCATTGTCAGAAAATGAATATGTATAACTATATACAATATGTACTTTTTAAAAACTGTTTTTAGTATGTAAGCAACCAAAAATAACTTAACCATGAGAAACCATAACAGTAACAAATGAAGGGATTTTCATTTTTTAAAATTCAATGTGGTATTGGTCATTTATGAGTTGTGTACATCCAGGAAAGCAATTCATAACCCATAACAATTTAATAAGACAGTTGTCCCAGGGCAAGAAACCCACTTTGCCCTTGTGTCAAGCGGGTGGAATAGGGAGATGTATTTACCAGCAGAGAGCCTTGATGGCAATCGCTGGTACACACAACCACATGCACTAGTCTCACAAAAAGCAACAGAGCAAGAAAATGTTAAATAATGCAGAAAATTGAATGAGCATGTTGGTTCTGAGAATATATTTGTGCGCTTGTAGGATGAAATTCATGGATGTGTGTGGTGGAAGAGAACTGTATTTCCTGCTGGGCTCACAACAGGGACATAAAACCCACAAATCACAGAAAAGCAAGGACAGAGACTCAGAGTGAAGTCACACTAAGAAAGAGCTGAGCCAACAGGCTTATGATTACTTATCTGCCATCATTGTTATCAGAATTATTATTTCTTACACTTACAATAGTCATTATGTGGTCTTTCTTACAGATACAGCCATCAAAAAACCTAAGTTACTCTATTGTCAATTGCTGAATCCAACAACCTGACTGATGAACTCAGCAATTTTGAGAAAATTGGCGAAAACATTTTAATCTGTATTTCCACTGACAAACGTTGTGCATTTCCATGTCAATTTAAAATGGAATAGTCCCAAAATGGTACCATTTTTAATTTTTAATGCATTGAGATCAAAAGGCAAAATTAATATATTCCCTGTTATAAATAGTGGGAGTTAGGTCATCAACATAAACAGCTGGTGGCACTAATTTTCAAGTCAGGTGCCATTAAAGCACTGCAGAAGAAGAAGGTGCAACAAGAAAATATAATGAATTAGTTTGTTTCATGTATTAATTTCAGGAATGTTATAATCTCCTCATTGTCCTGTTTTAGTCCGCTACTTTCTTTCATCTTTTCAGTGGACATTCAAGTCACATTTACTCAGTCATTTTCCTATGCACCTTGTCACATTTTGCTTTTATCAATAGAACCACATTGTTTTCAGTTTTTTTTATGCAGAAACTCTGGGCATAAAAACAGGTGGATGTAAAACCCACCTAATGCTAATCTAACTATGTGCCAAAGTTATTCTAATATGAAATTTGTCCTTTGTGTTCATGGTTTCCTGACCATCTCTTTGGGGGCAGACTGAAAAGTAGAAACAATTACAGAAACAAAAATTAAATAAATAAATTCAGTGTATCTATGGGCACTAAGTATTGTTTGAGGTCCTAATTGAAAGGCATACAGCCTTAGGCACCTCCTTCCATTCTGTTAATTGTCTTCCATCACCTAATTGCTCTCTGTCTGCCACATTCCTCATCTCCCATTCTCTCTCCTTCTCCTTCTGCCAAGTCTCTGGAACAGCTTTCAGCTCACATCTAACATCAAGGCCTAATGCATCTGGATGGGAGGTGCTTTCTGTGACAAATGACCTCACACATAACAGAGGGGGGGGGGGAAAGGTCCCAGTCACCTCTCTCTGTCTTCATGTCTATGCCTGACTGTGCCTGTCTTTCAGTCCTTGTATCCGTCTCCCTCTCCCTTACCCCTCCTCACCATTCTTGCCAAGGCTTGAGAGAGTGTGAGATACAATATGTGATCATCAATCTGTCCTCCAATCTTTACCATCTCCTGACACATCATCTCAGAAACCCCTCTCCACTTGATGTCTGACTAAATTAGATTAAATGACTGCTTTGTCAACCTTCCCAAAGAAGAGGGAGATAAACTCTAGAAAATGAATGTGGGTTCTACTCACACAATAAAATGGAGGTGGACACTCCAAATTGTATAACACTGTAGCTAAAGCAATTACTGCATAGATCAAATTTTGAGGAACAAATTAAGGTGTGATAATAAATGCATTCAAGCATAAATTTCCAAATATTTTGAGTTCTTTGTCTTGTTCTTTTCTCCCCCAGATTAATATTTTTTCACAACCCCAAATCAAAAAACGTTGGTAAGGTATGTAGATTCAAAATTATAACTGATGCATTTCAGGACTAGTAATGCGATAAAGCAATGAAATGATGATTCCATTTGAAACAAGTGATGGCAACAGGTGACCATGATCATGATTTGGTACAAAAGTGGCATCCAGGAAAGGCTGAGCCCTATAGGAACAAAGATGGGCCGAGGGCCGCCAGTTTGCCAACATACAGTATGTGTTGAGAAAATCATTATCACCACTAGCATAACAGTCTAAATAAATACATGTTGAATAAAAACCTTGAATCTTGAAATGTTTAAAAACAATTTTCCTCAGTAAAGATAGGAAAGGATTTAAATAGCATACTTGCCGTGAAACGGCAACAAAGGAATTTTACCATAGCTTTATTGTAACATTTGTCGACTTACTGTAGTTGCTGAGAAGGCAAACATTAAAAGAGTTTTTTAACCTGCACTTTTCAAGCATCCACTGGTTCAACTTTGACCTTCTATGCTTACAATAGTGTAAATTGGGACATAATATCTATGAAACAAGCTGTGTGCATAGTGCATAAATGCAGTAAGAAACTATAAGCAACACTGTGTGTGCTTACTTTAGGTCTAACATCTAAAGTGGTTTAAATCACTTAAGGCAGGCTTTAATGTTTCCTTAGCATGTTTAAAGAGAGAAACCTTGACAACTCCACTGGTCCAGCACAGTGTACTGACTTCAGTGTGTTTCCATGCCACACAATCTCAGTGACACTAACACACTTAGAGACACACAACACCACGTCTTTCATTCCCTCCTTGTCACGCCTCCGACTGAATTAGATTGTGATTGCTCTTTCCAAGGTCACTTTTAATTAAAAAGAGATGAGAACATGACACATGGGATTAAGCCCCAATACCACTTTAAATTATGAATTTATAACTAATGCTACAGCCAACTGCTTTGAACCATGGTCTCTATATCATTTATGTATAAGAACAAACTGAACTCTCCTTCTGCAGAGATAAAGAGCACAACAGGAGATTGAGGGGAAGTGTGTGTGTGTGTGTGTGTGTGTGTGTGTTCTTGACTGTGTTGCAAGGGAGTAGTTGAAACATGTGTAAGGAAAAATATATTTTAATTTATAGACACGTGTAAAATTAAAGAAAAGCCAAACATAAGGCGTCTTTGTAAGGTGTGGGGCCACCACGTGCCACCAGAACAGCATCAGTGCACCTTGGCATTGATTCTACAAGTGTCTGGACTCTGCTGAAGGGGATGAAAACCATTCTTTTAAAATATATTCCCACATTTGGTGTTTTGATGATGGTGGTGGTGCTGCTGTTTAACACATCGGTCCATAGGTTTCAGCTGGGTTTCGATCTGGTGACTGCAAAGGTCATATGGTATGATTCATATTATTTTCATACTCAAACCATTCCTCGTGCCCAAAGGACGGGGGCATTGTCATCCTGGAAGGCCAATCATTTATTCAGGTTTTTCCTTTAATTTGTCACCCATCTGTATTTGGCTGGTGTCCCACTCACACACTTGCACTACTGTTACTGGTGTTTTCCAGTTACTAACCATAAAATGGGGGATGAAAAACCACCCTCCTTACCTCAGTAATAAAAGCCTTGGCAGTCGCTGGGCTCATGAACAGCACAGCTCTGCGTAGTGTGTCCCTGTAGCGATGTAGCTCTTCCACACGCATTGTTCTGAACAAACTTGTGATCATCATGTTGATATTAGATTCCACCTTCTGAAGGGATATGTCCATTCCCTGCTGAGAGGCACGGTCCAGGAAATCCTCAATACCACGTATATCTGGAGAAAAGGAGACAGAGACAGAGGGATGCCTAAATTTTGGGCTGTAGAAGAACAAACTTCTAATAATACATAGTATTCTCTACAGCAGCTGACTGGTAATCTTTCTGCCTGCATGAGTTTGGAAAATATCTCAATTCATAATATCTTACTGGCAGTGATTCCTTGCTATTTGTATTACTCAAACATCATCCTCTATCTGATCTAAGCCTTTTGTTGTGTTATGTTATGTTATGTCAAAGACTGTCCTTTCGAAATACCAGCGTGTGTGCAGGTTTCTACTGTATGGCAGACTGAGTGTAAATTTGGAGTGAGGATTGATCTATCATTATTATCCTTGTAAATTTGTGTAATGTATAATGTTTCTACATGCCCCATGTGCCTTTGACAGATAGGTTTTTCTGCATGTTCTGGTCTGGACCCCTGCTCATGGGAGGCAACAAACAAGGCACATTTTTGGCTTGTTCAATGTGTTTGCACCAGAATTAACATAAAGATTTGTTATGGACATTGAGTTTGGGTGAATAAAACTCTTAGATTGCATTGTGTCTCTTGTGCCTGACCTGCTTGTGCCCTCACAGTTCCCTGGCAACTTTAAATCTTGACCAGTTTGCTAAATATATGTAAGCATGTGTCTTTTTAGCTAAGAAGTGCTGGAAAGTAAGACCAGCAAATAATAATTCCTAAATCTAAATTATATTTATCAAACCAGAAGTGATGCATTGCTTTAATAGTCTAGTTATAAGATTATTTCATTACTTAAGCTCCATTCATTTAGAGAAATGGTTCGTTATGTTGAAATTCTGTGAATATATGTGCCATTAGAACAGGGGTACATTAGCCAAAATGTCATATTTTTTGCTGAATCCACTATATATTCTTAGTGGTGTGCTGAGATGACAAATAACTCATTGTGCTGTTCAGAGTTTTTAATTAAAGCCAACCAATGTAATCATCTCAATTATGATTTATTTTTGTATAATGACAAAACCGGGATGCTGGTGTCAGTATTTTTACTGCCTGGAGTCCTCTATTCTTAATGATCTACATTGCAGGTCAAGATAATCCTAATTAGGGCACACTGGTTGAGACCATTGCTAATGATGTTGGAGAGCGGGGGTGTGTGTATGATTATGTAGAACAACGACCCAATGTTGTTTTGAATATAAAAATGGACAACACTGCTGTCATTACCAGAATCATTGCTGAGCGATTAACTGAATTGTGAACTGTTTAGACTTTTTAAGGGCCAGAAGGCTGCATATGTGCCACATGTTGGAGATTTAACCATGTATTAAGAGGAGAGACACCATAGAGCGGTACAGTTTCTGAGAGAAATTAATTTAGAAACAAGACAAACAAAATTCTGTATACACGTATACATGTCAGTGATTCTAAGAATGCAAAGCAGGCTGCGAGGTCAGAAGGATAAGCAAGCAGAGTGGGAATCTATTTGGACAGTTTCTGTGTGTCAGATCTCACCTTTTCACACACTGAGGAAATTAAAAGGGAATACCATCAGCCTTTCAGCAATAACAACAAGAGATGCCATAGACGAAGATGACAGCAAAGTAATTTGTGGTGGAAAGCTTAATTGTTTCTCAGGCAACTTTATTTCCCCTCCCAAATATATATACAGCAGAGCAGACATATAGCGTATTTAAGCAGATGCAGAAGTCGAGTCAATAAGAGCTGAGCATCAATCTGTTTACAAGAGTTTTAAATTGGAACAAACCTGTGCCTATATCTGTCAGTACAGTATATGTGCATGCATGCACATGCATGTCTTGATGTGTTAGCACAACATAAAATGAGATTTCAGAACATATCTTTATATAATAATTCTTTAAAAATATTATTTCGCTGCATCCATATAAACTCTCTGTGTACATGTGTTTGTGTGTGATGATGAGAAAGACAGATAAACAAGCAGAGACATCTAGATGGCATCTTTAATGGACAAACAACACTGCTCTAATCTGTCCAGCAGCACAGTCTTATCAAGCTATTAAAATCTAATTACAAGTATTAACAGGCAGAAAATATAATTTGCAGAATAGTGGTAATTACTGTTAACTATATTACCACTGGCAACACAATCATCACCACCGCAATGATGCTTAATGAACTACACAACTTCATTCATCTGTAAAATAAAACCAGACAAACTGAGCATGTAAACCCATGCACAGAGTACATAGAGACAGGCTAATACAAATTTAAGATAACAGGTAATATGGTGTGTGAATCAAGTTCTCATTTAATGTTGTAAAAACATAAACCAACTACCACACAGCCTGTCGTTCAACTGAGGCCCTTTTTTAACCCACAAATGCAAAAAAGTGTCTGTGCTTTTCTGTCTTCATCACAGCAAAGGTGAAATCACAGCTACATTTCTACCCTCATCAGAAAGCACCAAAGCAAAAACATTGAGAAATATGTCTGATTGCGCGCGCACACACACACACACACACACACACACACACACTGTGTTTTCATTGACTTACATTAATTTCCTGTAGACTTATCATAACCTTAACCATAACCATTACCAACCTAACCCTAACACCTAAAATTCAGTGATTTCCTTGTGAGTTCCCACAATGTGAGTGTGTTAACAGGTTTTGGTTCCCATAATGTAAGGAATGCAAAGGCCCACACACACAAAGTACATGCGCTAAAGTTTTACCTGTCAAAGCTATTTTAAGCTTAGTTCTGAAATCTCCCTATTTACCATGGCAAGGCCACAGTCAGTGGTGCCAAGCTCCGCAGACATTTTACACTCTGATTTATGTTCTCTAGGAAAATAATGCTAAATCAACAAAATCAAAAAAGCTTTTGTCAACAGAGCAAGAAGGAATTAAATAGTACTCCAAGAGCATAATACTTGTCTGCTTTTTCTTGTGCATGTCATGTTTGTTCTTGTACCTTGCAAATTCATTTGTGCCAGCCCAGTTTTCACCAGCATGTGCTCATCAATCAGTCTGTGCGTCTCTGTCTATGCTTTATGCCAAATCTGCCTGTTTTTATTGTCTGCATTATATGGGCCTCTTGGTCGTCTTGTACCTGTTAGTCTTCCTGTACGCCGTTCTCTCTGTCTGCCTGTTCAACTGCTGACTGACTGGAGGGTTGGTCTGACTTGATTTGCCATAATCAATCCTTTCTCCACCCTAGCTTACAGTACAGGCTGTGCGTCTAATGCATTTGTCTGCATTCAAAATCACTACACTAAACAGTGTATTTCAAAATCTATTGTGCAAACCATGATAATTTGAGAAATACCAAGACCTACAGTATATAGGCGATAAATAATCATTAAATCTTTTGTCTAAACTTTCCAGTATACATTATCAGTTTTTTGTGATGTTCTTAACCCTATAAAACCATTTGTATCATATTTGATACGTGAGGTTTCTGAGCAAAAAAAATTGCCAAAAATGCCCCATGTATCAAATGTGATACAAAAGAAATAGAAATAATCTAAATAAAATAGCACCTTTATTCCTATATGCCTGGACTGTCTGTCTATGCATATATGGCAAATAAAAATCGTGAATCTTGAATTTCGAATCATGAATTATATTTTGGATTTTGTTAAAAGGTTTAATAAACATCTCAGTTAAAATTAGAATGTTCTGGCTATTTTTTGATATGTTGGGCTTTACAGGGTTAAGTACAGTTTTGAGGTACGTATCTATACTTTCCTTGACTATTTGCATTTTGTGCTACTTCATACTTTGACTTCATTACATTTTAGAAGCAACTATTGGACTTTTTACTCCACTACATTTTTTTTCGGTTGTAGTTACTTTTCACAACCAGATTAAAACAAAAATTACATCATAAAACTGTATTTATCTCCAGTAGAAAATTCACAAGCTACCGAGCAGTATGTAAAGTTAATCAAATCATACTGTAAGCACATAAGCTAGTTAAAAACTACCCCCGCCCACAACATTAAATGTGGTAATGTGTGTGATATTATCACACATTTTTAATATAATATCATATGTGTGATAATATTACAGACATTAATGTTAAATGTGCCATTCTACACAATGAGTACTTTTAGTACAGTATATTAAGCATGTTTTGTTATATTTTGTACTTTTACTTAGGTAACATTTTTTACACTGTGGTATTAAAACTTTTATTTAAGTAAGAGACTCAGTTCAATTCAGTTCAATTTATTTGTATAGTGCCAATTCACAACAACAATTGTCTCGGGGCACTTTACATAATCAGGTTTAGACTTCACACTATTATAAGGAAATCCCAACAAATCCCCCTTGAGCAAGCACTTGGAGTACTTCTTCCACCACTGGAAGAAAGACAACACAAACATAGAAATTTTAAGCCAAAGACACAAATCCATTAAATCACTGCAAATAATAACTAGCAAGAGAAATTACAATCATATTACAGAGTACAAAACAGTAGTATAAAATTCAGGAGATCCTTTAGTAATGCAGCCAGAGATGCTGAAGAAATGTAGAGTTTAACAATGAGATGTGAGATATTCAATGCGGGAATGTTTCATGACCAGCACCACCAAAAAAAAGTTATTGAATTTCAAATGCAGAAACATCCTGGTCCAATTTTACACATTAATAGTAAAAGGACCCCTACTCCCTACCCCAAAGTTTGGCTGATTTCCTTCCACCTGCGGTTCAAAGGATAAGGCATGAGCATGTACTCCCCACTGCTGAGCGGATCATTGACTGTCAGTTGCTTTTCATCCAGGAGCTCCAGCACACCACAGCCATTAAAGACATGGGTAAACCCACCAACCTTGCCCACCCAGCAACCATTTGTTTGAGACACATCCCTCTAGGAGATAGTACTGGTTCATTAAGACCATGATCACCAATCACCTCAACCACTTTTCCCCCAGGTGCTTTCACCTTACTCAACAACTCCTTCTGAATCCCTCATGCAAAGCGATACTCTGCATCCCCACAGGTCCAGGCCTATTCATCCTCATCAAGTACAGATGACTG